CCTGGTCGCAGCGCACGTGGTACAGCACCATGTCCTGGGCGATGTCCTTGCGGTTCCCCAGCTTGTTCATCCTGTCGTGGGTGTCGGTGTTGAGCACGGACCAGCCCAGGAACTGTGTGAGGGACTGCGGAGGGCACAGCGTCACCCCCGAGGGGCCCTGCCCTCCAGGAGTGCGGGGTCGGGGGGGAGCAGATGGCGTGTCCTGGTGTGCCCGCGCAGGCGTGCCCGCGGAGCAGCTCCTGAGGTGGCGCTTACCTCCATGAGCACTTCGTCCTGCTCGTCGAAAGGCTTCCCGTCTTTCCTGTTGTAAAAGGTGGCCACCCCCACGATCTCCTCCTTCTTGTTGACGATGGGCATGGACAGGACGTTCCTGACGGCCCAGCCGGAGTCGTCCAGGGGGCCCTCCTGCGGGACGGCCGGCGCACATGACTCAGCCTCCTCCGGAGAGGAGCCTGGTCAGTGTCCCCAGGGAAGGCGAGGGGAGCAGACCCGAACCCCTGAGCCCAGCAAACCCGCAGGCAGGTGGGCGTGAGATGCAGCTGCCCCGAATGCGTACACACTTTGAACAATTATAAAGTCAGAGTTTATTAAATTAGTGAGTTATCAGCTGTTAAAGTGTGTGTACATTTTGGGGGGGGGGCGGGGACGCCCTGTATGTGTTTGCTGCTGTTTGACACTGCGATTTTGAGGTTGTTTCTTAAGCAGTAAAAGCCAATTCTGGCCTGACCAGCGTGGCTCAGTGGTTGAGCATCGGCCTAGGAACCAGGAGGTTCTGGTTCGGTTCCGGGTCAGGGCACAGGCCTGGGTTGTGGGCTCCATCCACAGTGAGGGGCGTGCAGGAGGCAGCCGCTCCACAATTCTCTCTCATCGTTGATGCTTCTCTCTCTCTCTCCCTCTCCCCTCCCCTCTGAAATAAAATACAAATATAAAAAATACAACTGAGCGGTCTGTCTGAACCGTGACCCCTTCTTCCCAAGGGCGGTGCCTGTCCTGTCGGTAAACAGCTACCTGGAAGGTGAACATCTCGTCCGCAGGGGCGTTCATGATGTTACAGATCTGCAAGGAGCAGGGAGCAGTCTCAGCTGCGCAGCCGAGTGGACACACGATTCTGAAAGCGACTGTCCAGCCCGGAGCGTCTACAGAGGCCGAGCGGGGGCGGGGGCTGGCGGGGGTACCCCAGGCGGGTGGTGGGAGGTGCCTGGCTGGCAGGGGTGCCCCCAGGCGGGTGGCAGGAAGGCTGGGGCTGGCAGGGGTGCCTGTGGGCTGAGGCTGGGGCTGGAGGCAGGGCCTTGGGGACTCACAAAGCCACTTTCTGCCACGTAGGTTGGAAGGCCACTGGCCAGAGCCCAGTGGTCAGCTGGGGGTGTGCTGGGGAGAGAAGCAGAGGGTCAGATGGCCAGACCCAGGGTTGTGAGGCG